ATCCATTATTAAATCTACTTAAGTAAAGTACAGATACACGAAAAATGTACTTAAGTACTTGTACATCGTTACTTCTCACCACTGCCCCTGACCCCCCACCATCTCTCATTCTCATTCAAAACATTTTTATGTTTTACGGCAAGATTTTGAGGTCTGATCACCCCCCTTTAACATGCTCAAAAACTCATTATTTTTGCTAAATTTAGATCCCCATTATCTTATGAGCAAACAGATCATATGCTAAGCCGATTGATTAAAATCTCTAGGAGAAATTCAGTCAAATGCAGAGGCTATAAATGGCCAAATCAAGCTAATCCAAGATGGCCGACTTGTGTTTGGACTTAAAGCATGGGTGCAAATGAGTTTTCTGAAGGTTTTGAGGAGTTTTACAAATGTATCCTGTTTCATGCTTGTATGATACAGTTAGGCCAAGGCAGAAGGTATTTTGTAATTTGCCTGGGGGAGCTGTTAAGCTGTTCCTGTTGCAACTTTTGCGAATTCCCTAAAATCAGTAATTTTCACAGGTGACTGATGCATTCACCAAATTTGGGGCATTTTTTTTATATTAAGCCTCAAAAAAGTTAATTTATTTGACAGAAGAATAATAGTATGAATACAAAAGGCCTTCACAGCCCGTGTGCTGCTTGGGCTTAAAAAAGAAAAGGACTTTGTGCTTACTGTGTAAGAGGCTTGCGGCACAGCACCAGAGCATCATAGAGCAGACACACTCCAAACACAGTGATTCCTGTTTCCTTGACCAGCATTGCACAGGTACCCAGAAACAAGCTGATGAGCAGAGACCCTGGAGACACCGTGGAAGGGAACGAGTCTTCGAAGACCCATTCATCAATACTCCTGTGCCACCAGAGAATACAATGGTATTCACATTTTAATACAACCTCATATTTTTAAACCATTTATAATGAGTTTCCCATCCACACACACCCACACAATACCTTACATACATTCACCAGGGACTTTATAATTTACACCTCGCAAGAATCAGCAAGGACACATTCAGACCTGCCTCATTTCAGCCTCGTTGAATCTAAATTCAATTCTAGTTGAATTTAGATTCAAGCAGGTTTCGAAATGACTCCTCAGAAATTTTGCAGCTGCTCTATGATCTATGTGATGACAGATCACCACTGCAGATTTGTTGGCTGAACATCCAAAAGGTGATGGTCTTGTTCCACCACATCACAAAGTTGTTCTGTTGGCCTGAGATCTGGTGAGCATGGAGACTATTGGACCACAGTGAACTCACTGCTATGCCCGTTGCAATAAGAATTAAATAAATTAATCACACAATACATTAAAATGAGTTTGATAGTAAAATGAGGGCAATAATTTATAAGCAGCGCTGTATGTCACACCAGTTACTACTACCATTATTCAGATCTTTTAAATTGTTTTTCTAGTTGTTTTACTGCCAATTGAACAGTGAACACAGAACTGCTTCCTTTGATTTTATGTAAACATTTATGGTTTCTGCTTAAACTTACCCATAAATGAAATGAATTATCACAATTCTAATAGGCTTATAGAATCACAACAGGGATATGCATTTTCGCATGCTTCACCCTTGATCCATGCTTGACCGTTAGTGCTCCCACGAGATTGGGGGAGGTTTGTGTGTTCTGATAATATCAATGTGTTTTTATGCAGCGACAGGAAGATTATTTTCATGACAGTCAGACCAAATGTTCAGCTTCCAAATGTGCATTTGGAGCACAGAATTTGGATTGGATGTGATAGTGGACTTTGGGCAGGAGTGCCTGGCATGAGTGATCAGGAGATCATGTCCACACCACAGTGAGGTATGAACCTTTGTGTTTCCTGAACATCTCTTGGAGGCTTATAAAGCTTTTCAAAGAGATCTCTATTTCTTTTGCACCACAGTGATGCAGCATTGTCAGTGTATGTAATTGATTGGATCATTTGCTATTTATACCAGCTAGGGATGCAAACAATGGATTTAGGATTAATTGTCAATTAATGGGATTAGATTAAAATTAGTCCCAATCGATAACTAAAAGCATTTGTTTATATATTCTTTCCGCATTATAGTGTGCATTTGGAGCACAGGATTTGGTTAGGGTTAGGCTTCCTTTTTTTTTTTTAAGAAAAAAAGCTGCTTATCGATCGTTAGTCGATTGATGCATCAACTTTATATTAGTTAATTATTCAATAACTTGCATCCCTAATACCAATTAAGTAAATGCATTGGTGAATGTAGCGATGTGTCAGGCCAAAGTTCCAATAAGTTGAACTGTATAAGCTTGTGTGAATGAGCACACTGTGACACCGAGTTGCCTTACCTAATATAGAGGTGGAATGTCAGGAGGAACAGCAGACAAGCCAAGACATCAGCTCTGCCCACAATGCCAGACACCTGCAACACATACATGCAGAGATGTCAGAAGAGTTAATCTGCTAAAGTAGGGTGAAATAAAGTAGAGGAGGCTGCTGAAGAAACTACTTGATTTCAAAGAACACCCTCTATGTTACAAATTCAGCTAAAAACTGCAATTAAAGAGTGGTGCACTGATAATGTGAAGGTCAGAAAGATTACCAATATAACATTTAGACATACACAAAACAATTATCCAGGAATTGGAATTGATGATCAATGATCTTTGCAAGTGTAATACTGAAAATTTTATTTAATCTTCTATTAAGTCATTGAATGCATCAATCTCAATTTTTGGTCCATAAACATATCAACCAACAGCATGTACTTAGAAATGCTTTTCTTGGACTTAAAACAATAGATAACAGTAAGTGGTATTACCTTTCATGCATTAATGGGGATATTTTTATAATACTTTATTTATCTGCTAAATTCAAAGCTATTATGTATATCAAAAAATCCACAGCACATTATTTATTTTGTTATACCCCTGAAGGGATAAACAGATTAGATCTAACAAAAAAAGGAAACTGATACTAACAGATAGCAGGGTTTCCCCCAGAAAACTTGCTAAGCCCGGTGGTCTTAAGTTGACAGGAAATGTAAATATATTACTGGGTAATTATATATGTTATGAGAAGACATTTTCAGTGAAATGCTATTTAAACACACAACTATGGAGTGTTAAAAACAACAAATAAAAAATACTATTAAAATAAATATCAATTATTTGCACTTTTGTTAAATCCAAAATAAGTCAGCAGCTGCTTATGGCCCCCTCCATAAATGCTAATATTTTAACACAGACAGAGAAATTTAACATTTGGCCAATGGGAAAGACTAAATATGTCACATACACATACATTATGAAATGTATAAAATGAGATTGTAGAACATCAACATATTTAGAAAATGTGTAATTAAACAAGTATACTGGCAATATGAAGACAGCAATGGGCATGTGTCAAATGCCTGCTACATTCACTTGTGACACAGCGCCTCCAGAGGTGTGTGACCTCTGGAGGCTTCTTGCATGAAAGAAGACCCTGGTCTTCTTTCATGCATTTTAACAGGCAAGTAAATTCAGATTTTGACCATGAAATGTTGAAATTACCAATAAGAAAATCAATTTATATAAATTTCAAGTGGACAAATTGATTTTTTTTCATCATCTATTTGACTTTTCGTGACCTTATTTTTACTTATCAGAATAGACCCTTTTCACAGTGACGTCAGACAATGGCCGCCATAACTCGAAGCGGTGTATCTTTACTTCCGGTGTGATTTTGCCTCGGGAAACCTGACTGAAAAATTCACGGATACTGCTTTTACTTAAGGATATAATAAAAGGTAAGGTTAATAATAACAGCATTTAAGTGTTAGATAACCGTTATTACTCATTGTCAATCCTCCATTCTCTGACTGTGTATAAAGTAAACAGCCTCCGATCGGAGAGTAAACCAGCTAGCAGCAGCTTTAGCCACAGTTAAGAAAAATATACACTGCTCTGTAAGTGCTGTAACGTTTAGAGACTCACTTTATTTATCAACTTTAATAAAACAGCATTTAAGTGTTAGATAACCGTCATTACTCATTGTCAATCCACCATTCTCTGACTGTGTATATAATAAACAGCCTCCGATCGGAGAGTAAACCAGCTAGCAGCAGCTTTAGCCACAATTGGGAAAATATATACACCCCTGTCTGTCAGTGCTGTAACGTTTAGAGGTTCACTTTCTGTATTAACTTTAATAAAACAGTATGAAGTGTTAGCCGTTAACAGTCATTGTCAATTTACCATTCTCCAACTGTATTTAAAGGAACCAGCCTCCGATTGGAGAGTAAACCAGCTAGCAGCAGCTTTAGCCACAGTTAGGAAACATATACACCCCTGCCTGTCAGTGCTGTATTGTTAAGTTTCACTAAAATCACTGACATCTTCCAACAGTTGTTTAGAAAAGCATTTTAAATATTGATTTAAGCGCTATCTGCCAAATAATTTACATATTCTGATGTGATTCATAATTTCTCCATTTGTTTTGTTGTTCATCTTTCTCAGCAATAGCCGACCTAACAACCTACCATATCTGAGATGGTCTTGTTCCTCTGTCCATGGCAGGTTCAGACAATCAGCTGTGGGACATCTGCTGCCTAACGTCAAACTATCATGGGCCTCTTGATTTAAAAGGAGAAACCAGTACAGAGCCTCCCTGCTCCTGCAAGTCACACTTCTTGGATGAACACTCACTACTGCTAGCAGTTGTGTTAGAAATGAAATCTTTGTGCATCTATTCTGTAATTAATATCTATATGTATCTATTAATAAATGAATTTATGTTGTGTAGAGTTCTGTAAAAACTATTGTAAATAGCTTCTCTTGAGTAATCTACATATGTGCAACTTTTACATTTAAATTGCTTCTTTTTGTAAATTTTACACATCTGGCAACAAAGTATGTGGAGGAGAGGAAATGCTAAAATTAAAGCTGCCATTGTGGACCAAAGGCATAAGGTTTGTGGCTGTTTCTTTAAAACATCTATTTAATAATCATATTAAACACTACATGGTTACTACATTACACAAACATAATTACCACAGTTAATAATTTAAGTCAGTGATGGAGAAAATGTATTTACAAAAGGCTTATCAATTTTATTTTAACAGTATGTACTCAGGGTTTACAACTTAAGAAGACATCCATGTACGGTCCTTGGCGGGTGCCAGTCTGCAGTGAACTGGTGGATGACAGAGGCAGTGGTATACTGTAGTGACCAGTTTGAAGCAGAAGTCCCACTTCTACTGAACAAGATCCTCAGGATATCCAGCTCTGTCCTGGGGTGTCCTGTTGACCCAATGGAGGTGGTGGCAGACAGGAGAATGAGGACTAAGCTCGAGCGCATGCTACAGTACCCGTCCCACCCCATGCACCTCTCTGACAGCACTGAGCAGCTCCTTCAGTGCCCGGCTGCGGCACCCTAAGTGCGTGAAGGAAAGATACCGTAGGTCTCGTCAGACTGTACAACACCCACTGCTCTCAGTAGTTCACTACTCTTTACTATAGGCAATAAACCTGGAATTTATTTATTTATATTTCAAACAATACTTCAGTACTTTCTATATTCACCTGATTTTACTGTGTATATATAGATTTTTTATAGATTTTTATATTGGTTCTGCTCTGTCCTTTATACTGCTGTAACAATGTAAATTTCCCCACTGTGGGATTAATAAAGGAATATCTTATCTTACCATGTGATCCACAGAGCTTTCCCACCTGAGCACAAACTTCATGCACTTTGTTTCCACAGGCACCACAGCAGAATCAAGTGTAACCTGTTAAAAGGGATATGAAGGTTTTATTCCTATTAGGCCTGTCACGATAAACGATATATCAATTAATCGCATGATAAATTAAACATATCGACCTCATTTTAATTATCAGACGGGGTTTTGGCGCCCCCTCTGGTGCTGCGCCCTTATGCATTGCATGCGCTGCATACCCACTTTTAGCGCCACTGGTTGAATCCAGTATTTATTTACACTTTGGCTTTATGGTGTTTAGTTTTTATTTAAGTAAGTTTTTTGTTAATGGAGATAGATAATCAATTTTATTTTTGTTTTTGATTGTTTTGTTTATTTAGTTTATCGGTTCCAGTATTATATGTTCTTTTGAAAATGAAGTGCATCTATCTATGGCAGGAAATTGCATGCATTATTAGTCAATATTATCGTTTATCGCAATAATTTTTTAGACAATTAATCGCTCAGCAAAATTTATCGTGACAGGCCTAATTCCTATGTTATCAATAGTCAGCGAGGAATTTGTCCAGTTTAGATTATGTAGATGAAGAAAAACTGTTTGCAAATAGTGATATATCTTCAAATCGTATTTGTGGCAACTGCTTTAGAGTCCAGAAACAGCGTTAACTACACACACCGGAACTAAAGATACACTGGATCGAGTCAAAACGG